TTAGCACTTAGAACTAATATATGGACTTTTGAGTAGACTCCATCGATAGATTTCCCGATTCCTCGGTTTATTGCAAATGAAATGAAGAAGAATTTCTAATAATGAATATTTCTAATGAAATATATGCAGTTGATCCAAGCATTATTTTGACGCGCAATAAATATTACTTAATCCATTCACTGCGAAGCGTACATTCTCAAATATTGAATAATCATTTGTTAAAGTTACCCATACTTATATACCGTTCTTTATTAGAATTTTATTAGAATTAATTTTATTTCAATCTATACATTTATATTTATATCCCGCATCTCATAAAATAGAAGCGAAAACAAATTTTGAATTTAAGATATATTTTAAATAATTACACTTGTTGGATGCATCTAAGTGTGCTCAGGTCGATTTTCGGGTAAAAAAAATAGATTCTACGTTCTTTTTTCCTATACATAAAACTTTAATTCTTCTAAAGATTTAGAAGAAACTTTAGCAAAACGATTAACAGAATAACTTCTCCAACTTCGAAACGAATCTTCCATCTCTCAAAAATCCGCCATTTTACATGCCCGCAGCCCTAACCTAAAAAATCGAAACGATATGTTATAATATCGAAAAGAAAAAAGAAAAAAAAAAAAGAAGAATATCACGATGTTCAGTTTTGAAGAAGAAATCCGTCCTGGCCAAGTTGAAACGCGAAACAAAAGACCGGCCGGATGTAAATCGATCGAGGAACGGATCCATGCGCGGGAACATAGCGAAAGATAACCAGCCGGCCGAGCCAGCATTAAACTTACAAAAGTAATTACAGACGGAATACTAGTTCTCTCGATTGTATCGAGCTTAGGGGATAAAGTCCGCGTGGCAGGCTTGGCCTGCCCACAATCTCTCTCTTTCTTTTTCTTTCTCCACCGTCCGACAAACTTTTCTTTTCCGGCCAATGGGCGTAGCCTTAGGGGAAGGAAGGCAGAAGGTTCGTCCGTAGAAAATGCAAGTAACGATCTTCTTCTTGCGAACGGGGCCCGAATCGGGCCCCAATGCTGTGCTCTTGGGTTACAGAGAGACAGAGAAAGAGAGAGAGAGAGTGACGCGTCGAAGAAAAGGAGGGCGGAGAGAGAGAAAAAAGAGAGATAAAAAAAAAATGATGGAAAGAGCAGAGCACCCATAAAGAAGGAAGAGGGGAAAGGGAGAGATAGCAAGCGTGTAGTATAGGTTTGCCGAGCCTGTAATCATCGCGGGACCGCGAAACGCCCATCGACGCCCTCTCATTCTTCCTCTCTCGCCATTCTATTTTCCTCTCTCCTTATTCGACCCATCCTCTCGGCCACTTTTCTCTCCGCTTCTCTCGACCGTCCTTGCACACCAACACACGCTCTCCAATGTGCGTGTGTCTGTGTGTGTCTCCTCGCCCCATTCCCTCCACGGATCGTGCCGACTCTATAATCATTATCAACCTCTTCCCAAACCATTTTCTTTTTTTCCCTCCCCTTTTCTTTTTCTTCTCTTTGCTCTTGCCATCGCGCTTCCTTTATAAATCCTCTTTCTTCCCTCGCGCGCGTTCTTCGTGACTGGTCTGTCGCCCTATCGTCTTTCTCCTTTTTTTTCGGGGAGAGAGGAGAAGGAAGGAGGGAGTGGTGGATTTCTTCGTTCGATCCACGGCTTTGAATATTCTATCCAACTTTGTTTCATGAAATGGATGCTCGGGATACTGTAATCTGGACCCGTCGCGTGCCGGGAAGTCGGGACGACGATGATATTTCTCTGCGAAAAAAAAAGAAAGAAATTCTTAAGTTTCGCTTTTTTTGGGAGAATCCCTCTTAGGGTTAATTAATAAGGAGGCGTAGATTTAATGAAAAATCGTTGGGGCGTGATTGGAGGCGAAGTTATTGGCCCTTTTTCAAATTTCTTTCGGTTCGATTCGAAATTGGTGTTTTAAGAATTTGGAATAGCGATATTTCGATATGTCGATTAAAATCAAACGCTTCTCATATCAAAAATCAACAAATTTTTTTAATACAATTTTTTAATACAAACCCAAGAGATATTATATCGCGATGGGAGATTTAATAGAGGGGAAAGAAAGACGAGGAAAAGACGTGTCCCCCCTTTTCCCGCCCCTTCGACGAATTCACGGAGAAACTGACGAAACTCGCGTGGATAGAATCGGGACGATCATTAAATTATATTGCGCGTATCAAAATCATGGAAAATCTCTGGGACGTAATTCCGTATCGCGGATATAGAGAGATTTTATTCACCGTAACGTAAACCCGGGCCCGAAATCTACGTATCGAAACTCGTCGTTCGGCTGTCACGGATGGAAAGTCGAAATCGATTATCGCGAACGGTCGCGTGACAATTGATAATAACCGTCGACGCGGGTAATTACGGTTTTGTCACGTTGATCGAACCGCAGGAAACACGTGGGTAATCCGTTGTTTCAGTCTATGCCGATTGTCTGTTATTTAACCAGAGATTAACGGCTCTGTAAACGTATACTTGTGTTCGTATAGAGAAAATGGTATTCCTCGCGTAGCCAGACTATCTTCGGTGTGGTTAAGTAGCTTTTTCCTCGCTTGTTCAAACCTGTCCCTATAAAATAAATCAAAGCTATATATATATATATAT